TGGCTCAGTTGGTTAAGCGACTGCCTTCGGCTCAGGTCATGATCCTGGAGTCCCTGGATCGAGTCCCGCATCGGGCTCCCTGCTCGGCAGGGAGTCTTCTTCTCCCTCTGACCCTCCCCTCTCTCATGTGCTCTCTCTCATTCTCTCTCTCTCAAATAAATCAATAAAATCTTTAAACATAAGTAAAAAAAAAAAAGAGTACTCTGAACAACTGTATGCCAATAAATTAGATAATCTAGATGAAATGGACTAATTCCTAGAAACATAAAACCTACCGAGAATAAACCATAAAGAAATAGAAAATCTGAACAGTAACTAGGAAGGAGACTGAATCAGTAATAAAATAATTTCCCAACAAAGAACAGCCCTGGACCTGATGGCTTCACTGGTGAATCTTTTTAAAACTTTTCCAGAAATTTGAAGAGGAGGCAACACCTCTCAACTCATTCTATGAGGCCAGCATTACCCTGATATCAAAGCCAGACAAAAACACTCATGTAAAAATTCTCAACAAAATACTAAACAAACTGGGACGCCTGGGTAGCTCAGTCGGTTAAGCATCTGTCTGCTTTGGCTCAGGTCATGATCCCAGGGTCCTGGGATAGAGTCCCACATCGGGGCGGGGGGGCGGGGGACGGACTTGAGTCTGCTTCTCCCTCTGCCTACCTCTCCCCCTCCCTGTGCTCGCTCTCTCTCTGACAAATAAATAAATAAAATCTTAAAAAAAAGATACTAACAAACTGAATGTAGCAGCATATTAAAAGAATTACACACTATGACCAAGTAAGACTTACTCCTAGAACGCAAGAATGGTTCAACATACAAAAGTCATCCATGTGACATGCCACATAAACACAATAAAGGAAAAAAAACGCATGATCTTCCAGATACAGAAAAAGCATTTGACAAAATTCAACACCCTCTCATGATAAAAACACCCAACAAACTAACAGAAGGAAACTACCTCAACATAATAAAAGCCATATATGAAACACTCAAAGCAAACATCACATTCAATAGTGAAAAACTGAAAGCGCTCTGCTATGATCTAGAACAAGGCAAGGATGCCCCTTTCAATTTTATTCAACAAAGTATTAGAAGTTCTCATCAGAACAAGTAGGCAAAAGAAAGCATTCAGAGACACCTGGGTGGCTCAGTCAGTTAAGCGTCTGACTCTTGATTTTGGCTCAGGTTATGATCTCAGGGTTGTGAAATGGAGCCCCATGTCAGGCTCAGTGCTGAGCATGGAGTCTGCCTAAGATTCTCTCTCTCCCTCTGCCCCTCCCCACTGACGTTCTCTCTCTCAAAAAAAAAAAGAAAGAGCATTCAAATTGGCAAAAAAGTAAAATTATCTGTTTGCAGAGGATATAATTTTTTTAAAAAAGACTTTATTGATTTGACAGAGAGATAGCACGAGCAGGGGGAGGGTCAGGCAGAGGGAGAAGCAGACTCCCTACCAAGCAGGGAGACCGTTGAGGGACTCGATCCCAGGACCCTGGGATCATGACACCTGAGCCGAAGGCAGACATTTAACCCTAAGGCAGATGATATCATCTTACATAGAAAACTCCACATACATAAAAATTATTATTAATAAATTCAGCAAAGTAGCAGGATACAAAGTCAACACATAAATTTCAGTTGCATTTCTATACATGAACAATCTGTAAAGGAAATTATGAAAACAATCCTATTTACAATAGTATCAAAACAAAACAAAACAAAAATCTTATGAATTAACTTAACCAGGGAGGTGAAAGACTTGTACGATTAAAACTGGAAAACACTGCTAAAAGAAATTAAGACTAAATGGAAAACTCATTCCATGTTCTGGATTCAAAGACTTCATATTGTTAAAATGTGAACATTATGACCCTAAGCAACCTGAAAATTCAATGCAATCCCTATCAAAATCCCAATATTTTTTGCAGAAATAGAAAAGGCCACCCTAAAACTTATATGAGATCTCAAGTGACCCCCAAATAGCTAAAATAATCTGGAAATGAAGAACAAAACTGGAGAATTCACACCTCCTGATTTCAAAACTTACTATAAAGCTACAGTAATCACTGTACAGTAATATAGTGTGATACTGGCATCAAGAGACATACAGATGAATGAAACAGAAGAGAAAGCCCAAAAATAAACCCTTGCATATATGGTCAAATGATTTTTGCCAAAGATGCCAAGACCAAGACGGGGAAAGGATAGTCTTTTTAATAAATGGTGCTGGGAGGGGCGCATGGGTGGCTCAGTCAGTTAAACGTCTGCCTTCGGCTCAGGTCATGATCCCAGAGTCCTGGGATCGAGCCCCGCATCGGGCTCCCTGCTCGGCGGGAAGCCTGCTTCTCCCTCTCCCACTCCTCCTGCTTGTGTTCCCTCTCTCACTGTCTCTCTCTCTGTCAAATAAATAAATAAAATCTTAAAAAATAAAAATAAATGGTGCTGGGAAAACTGGATATCCACATTCAAAAGAATGAAGTTGGACCCTTACCTAATACCACATACAAAATTAGCTCAAAATTGGATAAAGGACTCAAAGCAATAAAACTCTTAGAAGAAAACAGGACAAAGGCTTCACAACAGTGGATTTGGCAATTTCCTGGATATGACATCAATGGCACAGGTAACAACAAAAAAAAAAGGAACAATCTGGACTTCAAAATTTTTTTATTTTTCTAATTAAAAAATTTAAAAACAACTTCAAAAAAATTAAAATTAAAAACAGAATTACCATATAATCCAGCAATTCCAATTCTGGGTATATAACCAAAAGAATAAAAATCAAGATCTTGAAGACATACTTGTACACCCATGTTCATGGCAGCATTATTCACAGTAGCTAAAATATGGAAGCAACTTAAGCATCCATCAACAGATGAATGGATAAGCAAACTGTGGTGGATACATACAAGGGAATATTACTCAGCCTTTAAAAAATTCTACAATATGGTACAACATGGAGGAACCTTGAGAACATTATGCTAAGTGAAATAAACCACAAAAAGACAAATACTGTATTATTCCATTTATATAAAGTACTTAAGAGTAGCCACATCACAAAGACAGAAAGCATAATTGTGACTGCCAGGGGCTGGGGGGAAGGGGGAATGGGGAATTATTTAATGAGTATAAAGTTTCAGTTTCAAAAAATGAAATGAATTATGGAGACGAATGGTAATGATGGTTGCACAACAATCTGAATATACTTAATACTCCTGAACCGTACATTTAAAAATGGTTAAGATGGTAACTTTTATGCTATACGCATTTTACCACAATTTAAAAAAAAAAAAAAAAAGGAAATCCTGCCATTTGCCACATGAATGAACCTGGAAGGCCTTTTGCTGTGAAATAAGCCAGACACAGAAAGATAAAATATGATCTCACTTATGTGAGGAATCTAAGATTTAAACTCATATAGACAGAGTAAAATAGTGGCCTGGGGGTAGGGGGGAAACAAGGATGTATTAGTCAAAAGGTACAAAGTCAGTTATACAAGTCCTAGAAACCTACTGTACAACATAATACCTGTAAGTAACTGTATACTCAAAAATTTGCTAAAAGGGTAATCTTACATTAAGTGTTCTATCACATCCCCCAAAAAGTTACAGCAATCTATACCAATGCTACAAGCCAATTAAAAAAACTAATTTGTGCATATCTAAAATTCATTCATTAACGTCTATGCCTTATGACTGCTTATGACAGCAGTTACTCCAAAAGCAAATTCCAGAAATTTTGGTGAGGTGTCATATGATCACAGTGATCACCTATGTGCTCTCAAGCCTCCTGTGAATCCTAGGCAAACTCATTTTCTACAATTTACTAAACTCAGGAGAATGAAATTAATTTTATCAATCTGGATTTCTGAGAATGCAGGGAACATTTTTATTTATTTTTTTTTAAGATTTTATTTATTTAGGGGCACCTGGGTGGCTCAGTCCTTAAGTGTCTGCCTTCAGCTCAGGTCATGATCTCAGGGTCCTGGGATCGAGTCCCTCATCGGTCTCCCTGCTCGGCAGGAAAGCCTGCTTCTCCCTCTCCCACTCCCCCTGCTTGTGTTCCCTCTCTCGCTATGTCTCTGTCAAATAAATAAAAATCTTAAAAAAAAAAAAAATTTATTTGAGAGAAAGAGAGATAGTGAGAGAGAGCACAAGGAAGAGGGAGAAGTAGGCTCCCCGCTGAGCAGGGAGCTCGATACCAGGACCCTGGGATCATGACCTGAGCCAAAGGCAGATGCTTAACCGACTGAGCCACCCAGGCACCCCTGCAAGGAACGTGTTTAAATGAACTTTCTATCTAATGCCAAGGGAAAAAAGAATGATTCCATTATATAAATAAGATTTGAAAAATATCTGAAATACAACTTTAGGGGGCGCCTGGGTGGCTTAGTCGTTAAGCATCTGCCTTCGGCTCAGGTCATGATCCCAGGCTCCTGGGATCGAGCCCTGCATTGGGCTCCCTGCTCCACGGGAAGCCTGCTTCTCCCCCTCCTACTCCCCCTGCTTGTGTTCCTTCTCTCGCTGAGTCTCTCTGTCAAATAAATAAAATCTAAAAAAAAAAAAGAAATACAACTTTAGCCTGCAATCTACATAAAAACAAAATTTAAAATCCATTTAAAAAGCAAATAATGTCAAAGCAGAATAATACCAGCTCTAACCTTGTAACTCTATCTTTCCTCTACCAGAACCCAACACTTTATGACTCAGAGTAGCCACATTTTTTCCCTAACAGTCTCCACACAGAAAACACTCAATCAATGTTGCCGACTGACTATATCACAAGAGTTGCACAACACAACACAAATCCTGCTATCACCTATCACCACTGACTTCTGGGCCAGAATCTAAGTTATGAAGTTGAAGTCATGATTATTACGTAACTAAGAAAAGGGTAATTCCAAACCTGGGGTACATAACCAATTCTGGTATATTCACTGTGCAGTCAAAAGAAAAAAAACTGGTTTTGTACCACAAGCTGACAGCAATAATTCTTACCCTCCAATTCCGAATTCGTTTGAGCCTGTTAGGGGTTTTCTCCAGAATCTGTAGAAATTCATGTGTCAGTTCTACAAATGAAATAGAACATTTAAGAAAAACTCAGAGAAGCAGAAGTAAAAAAACAAGAATAACCTCAACTAACTATTTTCATCTGAATCAAGTCACTTTGGGCCAGATATGTGACAGATCAAGAGCAAGTGCTTTTCAAGGTCCCTTACTCTAAAACTTACCATCTAAAAGTTCCAAGGTCACAGTGGCGTCAACATACTCCCACCAGTGCTTCCCATCAGTTGAGACTGGGATCTCCCAGTTGGACCACTTGCAAGCCAGATGAATGCAGACACAGGCCACCACAGGAGGTGTGTACTGCAGGCTAAATGTGGTCAAATGCAAGCTGACATCAGAGGGAAGGAAACAAGAGAGTGTCATGAGCTCTCAATTCTGAACCCAAAGTTAAAACTCTCCATTATTTAAAAAGAAAAAAAAATTTAAAAACACTGGAGAGTAAGAAGGGTAAGAAATATCCAGTGCTCTGATCCAGCACTCAACATGATTTTCCATTAACCCACCTGCTCAGGTAACATTTTTGAATTTTTTGGCTATACATCATTCAATCCCACACACTGACAAAAGACCAGGACCAAAACCAAAGAGACAGGGTACTCAGTTTTTTAAAATAAGGATCTATTATCCTGAGAGCAGCTTAGAACTCAAAGAAAATTGTAAGATTTTTAGTTATGTGTAATCCCTAAATCAAATACTTAAAACCCCCTTAAAATTATCTTATCTCTTGCCAATCACAGGTCTAGTCTATTTAAAATAATGAATAGAGGGGTAATTGGGTGATGCACATTTAGGAGGGCACTTGATGTAATGAGCACTGGGTGTTGTATGCAACTGATAAGCACCAAACTCTACCCCTGAAACTAATATTATAGTATATGTTAACTAAGTTAAATTTAAATTAAAAAAATAAAAATATACTAAACTAAAATAATGAATAGACAATCACTCTCTCAATTGTGAATATGCTTAACTGATGGTTTACTTCAAAAATTTCTCCTATCAGGCTATAAAAATGAAACGACAGTCAATAGGAGTATCTTTGATTTCCATGAACAATCAATTGGAGATGAGACTGATCAAGTAATTTGGTAATACAAATTATGTATTAATTTTTGTTTTAAAAAGAGAAGAAGAAAGACAAAAACATTATAACTCTTTACACATATACATGCACATTTATCTGGCAATGGGGGAAGAAAAATAAGTCTTTTAAATACCATAATTATTGGGACACCTGGGTGGCTTGGTTGATTAAGCATCTGACTTCGGCTCAGGTCATGATCTCAGAGTCCCAGGATGGAGCCGGGTGTCAGGCTTCCCCACTCAGCAGGGAATCTGTTTGTCCCTCTCCCTCCGCGCCTCCCCCGGCTCATGCGCGCTCAGTCACACACATGCACACTCTCTCTCTAATAAATAAAATCTTTAAAATAAATAAATAAATACCGTAATTATTGCAGAATCCTCCAATTAGATTCTTAGTCACTATCAACCTGAAGTTTACCTAAACTTACAGAACTATGCTCTTGGATTATTTTTTTAATTATTTTTTTTAGATTTTATCTTTAAGTAATCTCTACACCCAACGTGGGGCTTGAACTCAGCACCCTGAGATCAAGAGTTACATGCTCTCCCAATTGAGCAGCCAGGCACCCCTGCTCTTAGATATTTTAAAGCAAAGGAAGACATGCAGAATCAAGTATGCTTTCAAACCATCAGTACTACATAATTACATCATCTTAGCAAATTAAAAAGCACCATGGAAATTTAAGGTAAAATATGAAAACTGTACAGAAAAATCAACAGTTCCAGAGAATTGTCTGTAATACACTGTATCAACAATCCAACCTGGGTCTTTGGGTTCTAGTTTACTAAGTGCTAGACCTGATATCTTTCCATATACCCCCCAAAAAGTGACAATTCCAACCCAAGTAAAGCCCTATCCCAAAAACAGAAGAGAAAAATATTAAAATATAAACCTGTTGGTTGCCATGAAGTAAGAAGTCTGTGCTAAGTCCTTGCTTGCTAAAAAAGAAAAGGGAGGGGAGGGAGAGGTAAAAAAGTTATTAGTTCCATTCATTCTCCATTATTTAGTGAGCATTTAATATTTCCAAGTAGAGAACATAACAAATAAGGCAGACTTGGTCCCTGACCACCTGATGTTTAACATTCTACAAAAGAAGACAAATCAGCAACTTTTAATTATAATAATTATGCTGCTTCCAGACCAAGGAACTCAAGCTTTACATTGCACACCAAGTATTTGAAATACTTGTTTAAAATGCAATTCCTGGACATCCTTCCTAGAGTGTGACTCAGTATGTTTGGAGAAGGACACATGCATTTTTAACAGGTAACCTAGAAATTCTGATGCAAGGGTTCACTGAAAAATACTGAACTAGAAGATGAACTAATCTGGAGGCAAGATCAGAACCCAGAATACCTTTGTATATTTGGGAAAAGTGATCTGTGCTTAAAAAAATTTTTTTTAATGGAGTAGCCTGTGATTCAGACCCCAAATCATCAAATAACATAAATTACTTGATATACCACAATGAAGGAAAAAAAAAAAAATCTCCCCTTCCCCAAAAAACTGCTCTGGGTAATAAAGTAAATTTTAATTTTCCTTAAAACTCAGTCTTTTCGGGACGCCTGGGTGGCTCAGTTGGTTAAGCAGCTGCCTTCGGCTCAGGTCATGATCCCAGGGTCCTGGGATCGAGTCCCGCATCGGTCTCCCTGCTAGGCGGGGAGCCTGCTTCTCCCTCTGCCTGCCACTCCTCCTGCTTGTCTCTCTCTCCCAAATAAATAAATAAAATCTTTAAAAAAAAAAAAAAACTCAGTCTTTTCAATACCAGCATATATCCATCTTTGTTTAACCTTATCCTTGCTCAATGTAAACCTTCTAATGCTTTCTAACTATATCCTTAAACTGCTATTAGATACTTGTCACTTGACTTTATGAAATCTGCTCCAGGCTCTGACAAACATTGTCAAGAGGCTAATTCTCTCTAACTGAAGATCACCTAAAAACTTTAAGAACCCAGCAGAAAAATCCCAAGTTAGAAACACTCATTTTGATTTAAGCCAGGTAATCCTTTCAATTTAACTTCTAGCCAAAGCAGCTATGTTATATATTTGTCCACCATAAATAAAGCATAGCCATTAAATGGTAAAACAATTTAAGACAGCCATTTCAAGTTGGGATTCCTTACCTCGAACCAGTTGAGTGCACTTTACCACATGTGTATGTGGGTGATCAATTGTTAGTTCAAAGCCTAAAAAAAAAAAGTACTTTAGTTAAAAAGCTAAAGATACTGGAGTCATTTTATACTTCTTTTATCTGAGTCATCATTAAAGGCCTCCCTCATTTTCCTCTCCCAAAATTACTGTTCAGAGGCTAAGAGGGTCACACAACACATATAGCACACTCTTCTCTAAGACATATTATCTTCAAAGACAATCATATTTTGCACTAAATGATAAAGCTAATGCATTCTCAAGACCCCTGAGGAACCAATAATCTCTAAACAGAAAATTATTCTCAATGGACAAATGATTCATGCAAATTAGATCTTATTGGCTTCCACATTAAAATATTAAAATTTATTCCACCAGAAAGATATCATTTTCCCCTAAAATACAGTTACTCTGAAGATAATTTAAAGTAAAAAGCTAATTAACAGAAATTAACTTCAGAGATAAGCTTTGAGTGCTCACTTTGGCAGCATATATGCTAAAAAAAAAAAAAAAAAGATAAGCCTTGAAGAATTGTATGTACAGACATGAAATAAAATACAGGTGTACCAACACAACTCATACCCAGAGAAGAGAAAAACAGCCCAAGAAAAAAATCTTTATTTTCCAAATTTGCTAAGCTTTTAAAAGGTAGTATCTCTGATAAAAATAATCATCATCATCAGGGTTGCCCATCAACCGCTAGGGCTGAAATTTCTCCACCAAAACTCTGCTGTTCTAAACACTGATTAGAGGTGTGCCTGGGTGCTCAGTCCATTGAGCATCCAGCTCTTGGTTTCAGTTCAGGTCATGATCTCACAGGTTGTGAGATAGAGCCCAACGGAGCCCCGGGGTAGGGAGTGTGTTTGAAGATTCGCTCCCTCTGCGCCTCCCTCCACACAGCTGCACACACGTGCGCGCTTGTTCTCTCTCTCAAATAAATAAATCTAGGGGCGCCTGAGTGGCTCAGTCCATTAGGCGTATGCCTTCAGCTCAGGTTATGGATCCTCGAGTCCCACATCTGGCTGCCTGCTCAGCGGGGAGTCTGCTCCTACTTCTGCCTCTCACCCTGCTCGTGCTCTCTTTTTCGCTCTCTTTCTCAAACAAAATCTTTTAAATAAATCTAAAAAAAAACTACATGACTTCTTTAAAAAAAAATAAACTATTACCAAATTGTTAAATTGTTAAAAATTGATCCTGTTATATAAATATAATGACAGACAAACAGATCATAAAAATCCATGAAAGGAAAAAAGTTCTTTAGTTTCTGCCATTATTTATCATGAAGTTAATAACTGACAAACTTCCAAAGCAAATCATGAACGTAGAATTAAAAAAACCCCGCTAACTACAATTCCAAAGGACGGCTATACCTGACTTCTCTCTATGGTGTAGGTCAGGGTTAAACCGCATTCCACAACTTCTATAATTAGCAAAAACCTTCACTAGAGATTTTCTTCTGCCTTCCTATTTTACAAATTTTAAAATTTTATATTGCATACATTTCTTAATATTTTAAAGAAAAATAAATTTACCTAAAGTCTGCAGAATTATGCTTTCTAATATCACCAGATCTTGAACTTGTTGCAGGTAAGCCTGCAGGTGAGAAGACAGATAAATTATTCCGCAAAAAAGGCACAATATATAAAGTGTAAACAACTCTAACTCCTTCCAAGAAAACCAAAGCAACAAAAGGCAGGGATGAAGTTAAGAGGTAGCCTAGGAACTGAAATATAATCCTTCTCTATTAAGCATAAATTTTCCTCTTAAAAGAAGAAAAAAGTGACATATTGAGAAATCATACTTTATTCATAATTAGCTACCAAAAAGGCACCAGGGATTTGGTTCATTTTCAAGACTAACATTTTAGGTTTTAAAATGTGATGTAGACACAAAATAATTAAAAATACATACATCTTTTTTCAACATCATCAAAATACATTTGTAGACCCTACAGTACTGCAGGCAATCTCAAACATCTGACTCCTGACAACCGTCCCATCTGAGGTAATGCTAGATGTCTAAGAATTAGAAGAGTTCAAAGGAAAAGGGAATAAACAACAAAAATTTCTCTCAGATTTGTACCAGCCAATACTGTAGCCACTACCCCTACATGGCTACTGAGCACCTGAAATGTAGCTAGACTAAACTGAGATGTGCAATAGAATATACGCCAAATTGGGGGGCCTGGGTGGCTCAGTTGGTTAAGCGTCGGCCTTTGGCTCAGGTCGTGATCCCAGAGTCCTAGGATCAAGCCCCTTATCAGTGGAGTCTGCTTCTCCCTCTCCCTTTGCCCTTCCCCCACTCGTACTCACACGCGCACACGCACTCTAATAAAATCTTTATTTTTTTTTTTTAAAGATTTTATTTATTTATCTGACAGAGACATAGTGAGAGAGGGAACACAAGCAGGGGGAGTGGAAGAGGGAGAAGCAGGCCTCCCATAGAGCAGGGAACCCAACATGGGGCTCGATCCCAGGACCCCGCAACCATGACCTGAGCCGAAGACAGATGCTTAATGACTGAGCCACCCAGGCGCCCCATAAATAAAATCTTAAAAAAAAAAAAAAAGAATATATGCCAAATTTTGAAGACTTAATTTAAAAATAATAATGTAAATGACCTCATTAATAATGTTTTAATATTGATTTTACATTGAAATGACAATATTTGGGATTAAATAAAAGATATTAACAATAATATAAAATATTACAATTAATTTCACCTTTTTTTGTTTTTTTAAAGATTTTATTTATTTATTTGAGACAGAGCACAAGAGAGTGAGCACGAGCGGGGGGAGGGGCAAAGAGAGAGGGAGAAGCAAGCTCCCCACTGAGCAGGGAGCCCGATGTGGGGCTCCATTCCAGGACCAGGACCCCAGGATCATGACCTGAGCTGAAGGCAGACACTTAATGGACTGAGCCACCCAGGGGCCCCAATTTCACCTTCTTTTAAATGAAGATTTTATTTCTAATGAAGATTTTAAATGAAGTTCAATGAAAAGTTAAAGTGTTTTATTTATACATGACTCCCTCTATATTTCTATTGGACAGCACTGGTCTAGAACTTTAGGAGAATGAGACTTGGGGCAGGAGTTAGATCTATATTGTAGTGAACTTTCCACCTAACTTTACGATCTTGAACTAAGTCCAATAAGGACTTAAACTATGCTAGTACTCCTTTCCATATAGTGAATAAAATATTTTCCTCTAAGATTCCCCATCTCATGAGGGATAGAAACTCAGGTAAGAAATTATATAAATATACTTTAGAGAAAAAAAGTAAGAATTATTTTTTGTTTTACTTTGTTAAAACAAAATTTTGTTTCATTTGGTCAGTTCTACAGACCAATGGCATTTACTAGTCTAAAACCTAAATAAAAATCCAGGGCAATAATAACTCTTTCAACAAGAGCTACTGCTGTAAGAGAAAACAAAGGGAAGTCAAGACACTATTATGTGAAACAACTCACATAATTAGAACTATTATCAAAATAAAGGGGTGCCTGGGTGGCTCAGTCAGTTAAGTGTCTGACTTGGTGATATCAGCTCAGGTCATGATCTCAGGGTTGTGGGAATCCACATTTCACAGGGAGTCTGCTTGAGTTTCTCTCCTGCCCCTCCCTGCACCCTCTCTCCTTTCAAATAAATGAATCTATAAACAAACAAGCAAACAAATAAATAAAATAAAAACAACCCCCTAAAAGAAACACTTTCTCCAATATAATGAAAACATGCAAATTTATTTACCTATCTGATAAAGGATGACTCATGCATCCATCGTAAGAGACTTAAATAATCTAGTAACAGAAATCCAGAGTTTAAACACTTAAAAATGTCAGACTTCAAAATTTCTCACAACTCATCACTCCCCAACAACCGACTTCTAAAGCCAGGACAGAGCTTCCCTTCTTTAAGAAAGTCAAGGAAGGATGGAAGGAAAAAAAGCTGTATGTACATGCATAAGATAGAGGTCTGACAGAACATATACTGGAATTATAATCAGCAGTATCCTGCTAGAAGGAAGGGGAGATGAGCTTTAACTTTTACTTCAAATGATTCTTAAATGTTTGGGTTCTTCTATAGCAAGCATATATAACTTTTGTAATTTCTTTAAAAGTTAAAAAAAAAACGACAGGACTCATTTTTTTTTAAAGAGTCCATAACAAAACTTTATTGGTAAGAATATTATTCACGGAGCGCCTGAGTGGCTCAGTTAGTTAAGCATCTAACTTCAGCTCAGGTCATGATCTCAGGGTCCTGGGATCGAGGTGAGTCTGCTTGTTCCTCTGCCCCACCCCAGCTTGTGGGCTCTCTTTTTCAAATAAATAAAATCTTTAAAAAAAGAAAAGAAAATGGAGAATAAAACGGGAATGTATTTGCAATATAATAAGTAGAAAAGTCATACAAAATACATACATGTGTAGCTATTCATAGAAAAGAAGCGAGAAATAATGATTCACTTACATACCCGTGGTCCAAATTACATCTAGGTAATACATTTTCTTCTTAGTTTTTCTGTATTTTCCAATTTTACTATAATGAATACAGTTAAGTTTTGCCATAAAGTTTCTAATGTTTTTGTAAAGGAAAAACAAAAACTAAAAATTTAACAGCCCCCATTGAGACTTCAGTAAATCAAAATTACAAAACTAAGCTATCATCAAAATAAATAAAAACAGATATATGTAATTAATCCCCTACCTCACTCCTAGTATCAGGAAGTGATTCCTGCGGATGGAGACAAGCGTGTGCTACCTTGATGACGTGTTCCAATTTTTTTGGTTGCTCCTCTACTTTAGCCGCTAGAAATAACGCCGCTGGAGCCACAGACTGGATGGAGAGAAAATAAATCACATTTATTATTTATTCCTAGATCAAGGTAGATCTAAAAAAGAACTAAGTCTCAAACCAAATTCCCTGCTTGCCTCAACTTCATCACTTCTCGTTAATGCCTTTTCTTCTCCTTAAAATGTCTTCCCCTCTCCTATCCGTTAATCTACATCCGCTCCCAAAAACCAATCCCTTAAAAACTCTCATTAAAAGCTATCTGTGTGAGAAACTACTAGATGTAAATAGTTGGCTTTCTATTTAAAATGAGGTTCTTGGAGCCCCTGGGTAGCTCAGTCCTTAAGCGTCTGCCTTAGGCTCAGGTCATGATCCCAGCATCCTGGGATGGAGTCCTGCAACGGGCTCTCTGCTCAGCGGGAACTGCTTCTCCCTCTCTCACTGCATCTCTGTCAAATAAATAAAATCTTTAAAATAAAAAAATAAAATGAGGTTCTTTCTTAAGTTTATATCATAACCCTCCGTATACTTTTTTTTTTTTTAAATCCCAAGACGCTGGGATCATGACCTGAGCCAAAGGCAAACACTTAACGACTGAGCCACCCAGGCGCCCCTCTATATACTTTTTTTTAAAGGAGCAAATTGAAAGTAGATTAGTGGTTGCCAGGGGCTAGAAGAGGAAAATGGGAGTGACCACTAACGTATTAGAAGTTTCTTTCTAGGGGCGCCTGGGTGGCTCAGTCGGTTAAGCGGCTGCCTTCGGCTCGGGTCATGATCCTGGGGTCCTGGGATCGAGCCCCACGTCCGGCTCCCTGCTCAGCAGAGAGCCTGCTTCTCCCTCTCCCTCTGCCTGCCACTCTGCCTACTTGTGCACTTTCTCTGTCAAATAAATAAATTAAAAAAAATCTTTAAAAAAAAAAAAAAAGAAGTTTCTTTCTAGGGCAATATAAATTTTGTGGAATCAGATCATGGTGATGGTTGCACAACTTTATGAATATATTAAAAACCAGTGAATTGGGGCACCTAGATGGCTCAGTCAGTTAAGAGTCCGACTCTTGGTTTTGGCTCAGGTCATGATCGCAGGGTCATGGGATCGAGCCCCATGTCCGCCTCCATGCTCAGCAAGGAGTTGGCTTGATATTCTTTCTCCCTGCCTCTCCCTCCCCCTCTGCTCCTCCCCCTGCTCAAGTGTACTCTCTCTCTCTAAAATAAATAAATAAAATCTCTAAAAACAACAAAAACCCAGTGTACTGCACACTTTAAAAGGATAAATTTTATTGTATGTGAATTATCTCAAATATACTTATATATGGGGGGAGCACAAATCTTAGAAAAGGGAATTCAAAAAATAGTATTATATTCAAGACGTTATACAAAGGCACCCAGGGGAAAAAAAACTCAAGTCAACACACAAGTACACAACAAATTCAGTCACTAAACAATATAAGAGATTAGAGCAATATGACATAAATGTAGCCTGGTAATGATCTGGGAAATCCCAGGAAGAACTTCTGTTGAATCTTAAGAATATTTCAATGAATCAAACATGGCAATGGCAAGAACCAGAAGTCAAAGAAATATAATAAATAATTTTATATAATTGAAATATCTATTTCACTTTACTGAGTAGAACAAACAAGCATTCTAATACTTATTTATATCCCTGCTGCTATATGCTATTTTGCTGGAAGAGATTTTTATCCACAAATCCAATTCACAGTAACAATTCTCTTCCTTCGTATTTGTTGCAGCTGTATGCAGCAAACTCCATATATATGCCTAGACTTTAGGATAAGCAAAGCAGAACCAGAGGAAGATGGGTATGAACAAGATGTGAGGAATCAGAGTAAGAAGCACACTAAATTGAGTAGGTGACATAGAGAATGGGATATGGAACACAAAAGATCTTTAGCAAGAGATTGACACTAAAGATTTTAGAGAAAAGTACGTAATTTAAGAAACATTTAGAAAGACATATCCGGGGGCGCCTGGGGGCTCAGTCGGTTGAGCATTGTCCTGGAGTCCCCATCAAGCCCCACGGGACTCTCCTCTTGGCGGGGAGTCTGCTTTTCCCTCTGCCCCTCCCCCCACTCTGCTCTCGCACGCATGCTCGCTCGCTCTCTCTCTCAAATAAATAAAATCTGGAAGGAAGGAAAGAAGGACGGAAGGAAGGAAGGACAGACAAGATATATCTGGTCCCAGGAAGGACTAAAAGGAGGAAAGAATGAAACGCATTAGAAGTTAATTTTAAAAAAGAAAAAAAATTCGCAATCCAGGCATTAAGAAATAAAGATAAGAGTAGGCATTAGCAGTAGAAAAACGGGGAAAACCACAGGCATGATTTTAGAAAATTAATAGGGCTTCACTAAATCTATGTGTATGTATTTGCGTACAGAGAAAAACAATTCTAAAATGTCAACAGGATTATCGCTGAGCAGTTAGCTACACGAATATCATCATTTCCTCCTTTATTCTGTCTATTTAAAAAAAAGATTTTATTTATTTATTTGACAGAGAAAGAGATAGCAAGAGCAGGGACACAAGCAGGGGGAGTGGGAGAGGGAGAAGCAGGCTTCCCACTAAGCAGGGAGCCCGACACGGGGCTCGATCCCAGCACCCTGAGATCATGACCTGAGCCGAAGGCAGATGCTTAACCAACTGAGGCCATCCAGGCGCCCCTCTCTGTCTTCTTTTAATTTTATGATGACTACATACAGAAAAAACAGTTAACACTAAAAATTAACAGGACTTCATAACTGATTGGAAAAAGCAGGAAGGAAAAGAACTACTTAAAGACACAACTAAGATTTTTAGCCTACAACTTTGCCTTCAAGGAGCTAAAAATATATTCAAAAGGCACAAACTAAGGGACGCCTGGGTGGCTCAGTCGGTTGGGCATCTGCCTTCAGCTCGGGTGGTGGTCCCGGGGTCCTGGGGTCGGGCCCTGTGTCAGGCTCCCTGCTCGGCAGGAACCTGCTTCTCCCTCTCCTCCCGGCTTCTCTCTCTCGCTAGCTCGGTCACTATCTGTCTCTCTCTCTCAAATAGGTAAACAAAATCTTAAAAAAAAAAAAAAAGGCACAAACTAAAATATGGTATACAAACAATGGCTAAGAAGGCAAGATAATAACTCATTAAGTGAAAGACTGGAAGAGATAAATTTCAGTCTCATTTTTGCACAGTCAACCATGTAAATACTCATTGCTCCTCATGGAATCACTTACCAAGCCAGTTTACCAAAGCATTTTCCTATCAAAGGCAATTTCTAAGAGGAATTCTTACACCAGATAAGAATATAAGATTTTCTCCATTTTAAAAGAATAAAAATGGGGCGCCTGGGTGGCTCAGTCATTAGGCATCTGCCTTCAGCTCGGGTCATGATCCTGGGATCGAGCCCCGCATCGGGCTCCCTGCTCGGCAGGAAGCCTGCTTCTCCCTCTCCCACTCCCCCTGCTTGTGTTCCTGCTCCCACTCTCTCTGTCTCTCTGTCAAATAAATAAATAAATAAATCCTTAAAAATGAATGAATGAATGAATGAATGAATGAAAATGCCACCCGGTATTTATTTGTTATGTACAGGCACTTTGTAAATTAATTAATTTAAATATTAACTACTGGGGCGCCTGGGTGGCTCAGTTGATTAAGTGTCCAACTCTTGATTTCAGCTCAGGTCATCTCAGGATCATGGGATCAAGCCCCAAGTTGGGCTCCTGGGCTCCACACTCAATGGGGAATCTGCTTGAGATTCTCTCTCCCTCTCCCTCTGCCCCTCCCCTGCTCATACTCTAATAAATAAATAAATCTTATCAACTACTCTAGGAGATAGGCACTATTACGGACTCCAAAGAGATGAGAAAACTGACGCCTATGGTAACTTACCCGAAGCTATATAACTAGTAAGTGCAAAAAATCCAAACCTAGACATATCTGACTCCAAAGCCCATTCTCTTAACCACTAAGCTTGACCCCTTAAGGATAAGCTAACCAGAATACACCCAAAACAAATCTGTTAGGACTACAATATAACACCCAATTTTGTAATATATGAAATATTACATAAACACACCAAATTGCTCGCCATTAATTTTACACTTTCTCATTTGAAAATATTTAAAACAGAATATTTAGAAATGCAATTCATTAGGTTAAATTTCTTCTCAAAAAGAGTAATACAATGCCAAAAATTAAATGAAAATTAATCATTTAATCATGTCCACTAAAGAAATAAAATTTCCATTGAAAGACAAGTTCTCTATCTTCCAGGGTGCTGGAAATATACTTTATCTTGATCTGAGTGGTGGTTACATATACATACAATAATAATAATAATGCAAAAAGTAATCAAGTTGCACACTTCAGATTTTTGTGCTTTACTGTTAAACCTCAATAAAAATTAAAAAAAAAATTTTTTTTTTAAAGGCAAGCGTTCTAGCTCCAAAACACTATGAACAAAGAAATAGAACAAAATGAGAAAAGTATTCACAATACATGAAATATAGCTCTAATACATGAGAGCTCGTATAAATAAGAAAATCAGAATAAAAGAGGAGCAAAGAGAATCAAGAGTCAATTTTTAAGTCAATTCTTCAATTTCATGAGAACAATGACCTAATAGGTAGGTATAAGAAGCTCAACTTCATTAACTGAAAAAAATGTAAATTAAGAAAATAATTTAGGATGCCCTCTATCTTGTTCACCATTGTATCCCAAGTACTCAACAAGTAGTTAAAACTTAGTATTTCCTGGGGCGCCTGGGTGGGTCAGTTGTTAAGCGTCGGGTCATGATCCCAGGGTCCTAGGATCAAGCTCCCCCATCGGGCTCCTGCTCAGCTGGGAGCCTGCTTCTCCCTCTCCCACTCCCCCTGCTTGTGTTTCTGCTCTTGCTATCTCTGTCTCTGTCAAATAAATAAATAAAACCTAAAAAAAAAAAAACCTTAGTATTTCCTAATGTAATAAATATTTGTGAGGATGCAGAGAAAAGGACCTTCTCTTACAGTGCTGGAAACAATGTATACTGATATAATCTTTCAGTAAGACAAATTGACACAACGTATACTGATAAAATATTTCAGTAGGGCAAACTGACACAACAAAACAATGTATACTGATATAATCTTTGAGTAGGGCAAACTGACACAACAAAAATTTTTTAAATGCAGCCCTGTGGACAGAGTAATTTTACCTATAGGAATTTATCTCAGAACAGTCATGTGAGTCATATACTACATGTGCCAATTTTATATAACATTATTTATAATTACTAAACTAGAAACAACCCAAATATCCACCAATAGGGAGGTGAAATAAATTATGGAACTACACAAAGAAATACTATGTGGCCATTTAAAATACAGCTGACCCTTGAACAACACTGGTTTGAACTGTGTTGGTCCACCTATACGCAGATTTTTTTTCTATAAATACAGTACAGTACTGTAACTGCATTTTCTCTTATGATTTTCTTAATATTTTCTTTTCTCCAGCATACTTTTTTGAAAGGATACAGTATATGATACATATAACATACAAAATATGTGTTAATTATATTATTGGTAAGGCTTCTGGGAGTTAACTTTCTGGGGAGTCGAGAGTTATATGTAGATTTTCAACTGTGTAGAGGTAGGTACCCCTAACCCCCACACTGTTCAAAGGTCAACTGTAATGAAAAACCACTATGAAAAGATATCCAATATATACTGTTAACTGATAGAGGCAACTCACATAAGAGTAGTATAGTAAGAAGTTATTTTTTAATAGAAATACATATTTACTAGGTATGTGTACACAAAAATGTCCAAGACACTATATGACAAAACATTATCAATGGTTACCTCTGGAGGGTGGGATTACAGAGGAGTGAAGCTTTCTACATTACACGTTTCCGTATTAATTTTTACCGTAAACATGCGTTACCTTTATGAGAAAAAAATAACATGAAAAATGCAGAGGAGCTTGACAGGACCAATATCAATGCCACAACAATGTATTAGGTCCTCTCAAATCTGAACTTGGATTTATCACAAGTCTTAAAACTAAGATATTAAAGGGTGGTATTTTTGATCTGTTAATTCCAGAATGTGCCTAAAATCAATTCTGTAGAGAGGATCAACAATCCCAAATTTTAAAAGTCACTGGATTTTGGAAAAGGTCATATCATCCACTGGAATCTCTCTATATTTATTGGATAAGTACCAGATAATTCATCCATTCAAGTTTACCAAAGGTGCTTTGGAGGATACACAGAAAAGTGAGTCTCTGTCCTTGCTAAGCTTAATACACAGCAAATAAGGAAAAATATAATTTAAAAGATATAAGTAGGAGAAGTATATAATATATATGTGCATAAAGTGGACAAATTGATTTGAGATGTGTTTTATCCTGGATTTCAAACCTTTACCATAATAAAAGGGAAGACATGAAGAAAACGTTCAGAATTGGCAAGACAGCTATGGACCTCCTCTTCAAATTTCATTCTTTATCCACTACCTTCTATTCTAGAGCTATCAGACAGATATCCTCATTAAATGCTTTTTCTCTGTCTTAATAAAATTGCTTCTTGCAATCAAAGGTAGGGCATGGCTGGAGGTAAGAGGTCTACTGGTAGGAGAAAGCCAAGCTGACTGGATAATCAGTAAAAATTGGGAATACTTAATCCACAGATCCCGGGCACCTGGGTGGCTCAGTTGGTTAAGCGACTGCCTTCAGCTCAGGTCATGATCCTGGAGTCCCGGGATCGAGTCCAGCATCGGGCTCCTTGCTCAGCAAGGAGTCTGCTTCTCCCTCTGACCCTCCCCCCTCTCATGTGCTCTCTCGCTCTCATTCTCGCTCTCTCAAATAAATAAAATCTTAAAAAAAAAAATCCACAGATCCAAAGGGTTTCCAGTGTAGTTACTGCCAATACTGAGTATGCCAATATCTTACATTACAAGAGCAGTGTCTAGCTCCCTAGCTTCTCATTCCATGGCATTAAAAAAAAAAAGAGCTCAGAGCCTATCATCCTAAGGGTAAGTCTTAAACACTTTTCTTCAAAACATAACCTTTCTTAAAAAAAAAAAAAAAAGAAGACAAAGAAGAAGAAATATTTGACTCACAAACCCATATGAAGTATTCATCAGGTTTAGCCCTATTATTTTTGTGATTTTATTAAACAAATACAGTCTTACCTGCAACTGGGATATCACTACGCACTTGCTTCCAAGTCATTTATAATAATGTTAAATAGGACCATTTCAGGTATCAAAACTGAAAATAGCACTATTTACAATTCTGTCCAGAAAAAAAAAATCCCTTTATTACTATTATTTTATTTTTCCTGTCTTAAAAGTCACCCCCATCATCACATAACGTGCCTTCCCTCTCCAACCAGTCAGTGATTGCAATTATATCAAAGCCTTTTAGAAAATCTACATCACTTACATTCACTTGTTTTCCTGTGGCTACATTATTACCGCTTCAAAAATTACACTTAAATTAAGCATCATCTCCCCTTTAATGCTCCTCTCCCAACCCAAAAATTTAAGTGTTCAATAATCTATTTCTTTATTAGAGAATCCACCTATTCTAAGAATGCACTAAACCTACCAAATAACTACCCAGTTTACCAGAAAACTGGAAGACTGGATTCAGTGTGACACATAATGAAAGTGATCAATCCTATTTTCTAAACTTCAAATCCCAGTTCAGCAACAAAGATCAACCTCCTCACCCACCACACACACAGGAAGTTGTTGGAACTGATCACCAAATGAATATACCATACCGAAGAGATATATATATATATATATATACTTACGCTTCGATGGAACTGTGTAAAGGACTGAATCATGTAGAATCGATGCATGTATACTATAGCAGTGTTGATAGTCAATTGTGAACTAAAATGTTAAAGTTAAGGCCCCAAAACAGGCAGGCAGAACAATTCCCAAAAATACAACCTGTAGGATGCCTGGGTGGCTCAGTTGGTTAAGCGACTGCCTTCGGCTCAGGTCATGATCCTGAGTCCCGGGATCGAGTCCCGCACTGGGCTCCCTGCTGAGCAGGGAGTCTGCTTCTCCCTCTGACCCTCCCCCCTCTCATGCTCGCTCTCTCATTCTCTCTCAAATAAATAAATAAAATCTTAAAAAAAAAAAATACAACCTGTATATCCTCCCAAAAGGACCATGCAGCCAAGCACAGTACATGCTTCTAAATGAAAATCATACTTAATTTTCCAAATTAAAGAGCAAATCTGTTTTCTTTCACCAAATTATTAACCACCAATTGACACTTAACATAATGCCTTACACACAACTGCTATTCAATGTGTAAATTTGCTGAACTGATAAACAAGCTTCTTAGCACGTGTGGATCGAGGAACCTAAACCTGTCACTTGCCTCCTGAAAATCCTGCAGTGGAGAACCAGTAGCTCAGGATATCTCTTCACACGACTTACAACACCCTTCCTGATCTGGCCCCCAGGTATGACGCTACTATCTCCTCACTTTCTAAGCTCCAGAAATTAACTTTTCAGTCCCACTCGTCTGTGGCAACTAAGCCTTCTCATATGGTGATCCCTGGGAGCAGAAACATTGTGGAATGATGTGACAGTCACTCACTGACAAAATTTTAAATGCCTTACTTCTAAAGCCCTCAGAAGACAATGTAGGTTATTCAGGGAAGAGGTTGTGGTCCCAAGATGTCAACAACCTTAATAACAATACACACATTAAAAAGGGCTACATGTACTAAAACAGAATTTCAAACAAAAAGCTTAATTTAGTACTGACCCAATGCTTAGGAAACAAATTGGATATCCGCAATAAAGAGGACACCTCTTTTGAGGTGAGCACAACTTTAAGATACAACAAACATTACAGCCAGCCACACACTTAAATAGGAGCTGCACCCAGAAATAATTTTTCACTGCCAGAGTGGAAAGAACTTTAAAACTATATAAGCTTTCTCTGCTGCAACATGAGTATATTTTCTGACAAAAATACTTGAAGGGGAAATAAAAAATCACTAAATTATCTGATCTTTGAAATGTAAAGAAAACAAATACACATTAGAACTGAGTAAATTTAAAAATCCACAGTTTGTAAATGGTTTTTTAAAACTTTAGATCCCTGGGTCTATATCCTTACCAACAGAAACTGACATCCTTCCTTCCTCTGAAATTCTATAGTTTTAACAGTAGCTACCATTTGAACATGAGTGCCAGGCATTTTCTTAGGCATAGAAGTTACGTGCATGGCTTATCACTCCATTTTACAGACTAGAAAACCAAGAATTTGACAGATTTCTTAAACAGCTAGTAAGCTGAAGGAACGGATTTTGAACCATAGCTGGGGCATTAATTCTAGGCCACCCTCTCTTCATAAGTAAGACCTACAGGTCTTACTCAAAACTTGAATTTCTCAAAACTCTTTACACGCTAAGTTCAAGAGACAGCCATCAACAGTGAAACCTCCACCAAACCCCCAGGGAATAGCGGAAAAGTAGAATTTCTAAGTCACCGGATCTGGAGACCAGAACACAACGAAAGGGGACTAGGAAGGGCTGGTTAAAACACAAGCTGCGAAGGATACGAATTCCCAGCAAAGCTGGTGGCACTTGCAGGCGAGCGGGAAATTAACTCCGCCTCGCTTCCGCGGCGCAAACACTGAATTTCAGCCCGCCCCATCGGAGTCTCTCCCACCTAGACATTCAGCCCCTGCCCACCCGCTTCCCTCTTCCGTCCCTGACAGAGCCTGAGGCCTGGAAGCCCGAGCATGGCGGGTCTGACTCCAAGGCCGGAGGCCTAGGCCGCAAGGATACACGTTAAGACGTTGTCCCATGTCCTGGAGCAGATTTGCCGCCTGCTGGCGATGAGAAAGTTCTTTATCTGGGTCCAGGCCAAAACGACGGGATGGGCTATTTTCCAGCTGTTCTCGAGTAAAATACCACCGTTTGTTGTTGTTCTTCCTCTCTCCCTCCATAGTGCTTCAACCAGAAGGCAGCGGCGGAGGCTGCAAGCACTTCCCAGCGTCACCTAAACGGCGACACACATCCGCTATGCGGGGGCAACTGCGACGTGACGAACTTCCGCTAAAAGGTGGAGGGCTAGATTGTGACAGGCTTCCGCAAAGAAGGGAGAGTTAAAGAGTCTACTTCCGGAATGGACCTCGCAACAACCTGTAGCCGAGTTAACAGCCAGTAGGCGACCAGGAAAGACCTTGAGTCTAGGACGCAGGCGCCAGTCATGTGACCCTTGGGAGGGGGTAGAAGTTCTCGTTCGAAACCACGCTTCCTCCCGCGAGAGCTGGGTTTAGCTTTCGCGTGGTGGACGAGGTGGCGAGGCAACTGTTGTGGCGGGGTAGGGCGCCCGCCCACGCGCCCCTCGGCGGTTTCTCGGAGAACTTCGTTTGTGGCGGAGGTGGCGATATAAAATGGGGGAGATAGCGAACTTGACAGAACAGGTGAGACTGTCAAAAACTGAAAAAAGTAATCAAAGAGAGTGGCCCTATCGTATATCGTAATATAAAGCGACTAGAAAGCTCTTACGTTGTTGGTAGCGGTGTAAACTACCCTTTTGCAAAGCCGCTTTACAACGTTTATCTAAAGCCTTGAAAGAATTCTTACGCTTCGCCACAGTGATTCAACGTAAGGGAATGAAATTTAATTAATAGTGTTAATTTAGTGATTACCATGTTCCAGGCACATTGTTGACTCAAATACACTGTTTCATTTAAAAGACAGAACCCCAAGAGGTAATAACGTTTCAATTCCCGTTCTGTGGACGAGCGAACTAAAACTGCTCCTTCATTGTGGAAAGCTTCCACCTCCACCTTGCACACATAAGAATTTGTAAGTTGCTGTCCTCCACCAAGAAGTACCCCAGCTGAACGCCTGATGCCTCTTTGAGCCTGGGCAAGATACCTAGCCTCTCTGTGCCTCTTGTATAAATGTAAATGATAACAACAGTACCTACGTTTTAGGTTGTGAGGATTAAATAAGATATAATTAATTAAAAGCCTTTATAATAGTACCTAGCACATAGGAACATAGAAAACATTCAGTAGATGTTATCATAGTATTTATTCTGTTATATTAAAATTTGAGTTGTATGCATAGCACCTAACCTAATACAGTCCTGGCCCTAGTAGTCGATAAATGTCAAATAAATGCTCACAACACCCTACAATAAAGAAACCAGGGCTTGGGGAAGTTAAGTAGTTTGCCCTACACTACACTGTTAAGTGTTGATTTTTAAATCAAGTCTAATTCCATTGTTCTTTCCATTCTAGCAAACTGTATTCCTGCTTTCCTGAAACAATTTACCTTGACTAATTGGGGTAGTATTAGAATCCTTTGTCTTTTATAATATTTTGAGTTTTTTCATTTTAGACGTGGCTGCTCCCACTCAGTTTGATTCTAATTCTCAGAAGTATTTCCTTCCATTTCAGGCCCTCCTTTGCCATATGCTACCTATAATTAGCATTAGCTACATTTTACTCCAGAAAAATTGAGGTTCAGGAAGATTTAAATGACTTATTTCAGGTTATAACATGTAAAAAATTTATGATTTCAAACTTCTAACATCACAGACTTGTTTCTTTTAATAGAATAAGCATTTTTTTTCCAATTATATAGTCATTATATTTTTTAAAAAGATTTATTTATTTGTTTGAAAGAGAGAACGAGCTGGGGGGAGGGGGAGAAGCAGACTCCCTGCTGAGCGGGGAGCCTGACCTGGGGGCTCAATCCCAGGACCCTGGGATCATGACCTGAGCCAAAGACAGACGCCTAACCAACTAAGCCACCCAGACGCCCCTGGTCCTCCACTTAAACTCTTGGATTGATGGCTCCATTTTGAATTTGCTCTCCTGGCTGAGTATACCAATTTTCCAAGAAAGAATTCTGGTATCTGTTCAGCTCTAGGCAATGCAGGTGGTAACCAATGGCTTGCTGTCCTGCCATACAGAAGACCAGGACCTGTGTAACTCAGAGAAAGTAAATATTCTTTGACTGAGAGGATAAATATTTGAAAGTAGGAGGCAGTAATAACAATTGCTAAACAAGAGTTTTGGATCAGGCCTGGACTCATCCCAGCTCTTCTTTTTTATTTTTTTAAACCCTCAACAATCCTTATGTGTACAGTTCCATAGTGTCAGCTATATTCACATTGTTATGTAACAGGTCTCCACAACTTTTTAATTTTGCAGATCTGAAACTTTATGTCCATATGCTTCATTTCCCCCTCTCCCAGCCCTGACACCTCCCAATCTACTTTGTGTTGCTATGAGTTTGACTGCTTTAGATATCTTATGTAAGTAGAATCATACAGTGTTTGTGACTGCCTTATTTCACTTAGTATAATGTCCTTAAAATTCCCAGCTCTTCTTTTAACTAGCTGTGTGATTTTTTTAAAATATTTTATTTATTTATTTATTTATTTATTTATTTATTTGAGAGAGAGAGAGCACCTTCAGGTAGAGAGGGAACGGCAGAAGCAGACTCTCCACTGAGCAGGAAGCCAGACGTGGGGCTCGATTTTAGGACCCCAAGATCACGACCCAAGCTGAAGGCAGACGCTTAACTGACTGAGCCACCCAGCTGCCCTTAGCTGTGTGATCTTAAATGTCATCTCTGGATCCTGATGGGAAACCATCTGGCACACAGTAGGTGTTCAGTACATGTTTATTGTCAAAATAATGTTAACCTTCAGATAAATTGCCCTTAAAGAACAATTGACAAAATCTTAAACTAGAGGATTTTCCTTTTTTTCTCTTCTTTTTTTTAATTTAAATAGGACTCTGTTTCCTATAAAAGAAACCTATCAGGCTACTTTTCCTATTCACTGGACTAATCTTGTTCTGGATACAGGATTATACCATATTTCATGATTTGATCTTATTTTGCATTGTGCTTATGAATGTCATATTTCAGCCATGTCGAACATTACCATCTACTACTGTTAAAATAATTTCTTTCCAATATTTATATAGTCTCCAAATTAAAGCATGAAAAGATGGTGTGCCATTTGTAACTATTCCCAATTCCACATTCAGTTGATGTCATACTGATAGCTTGAAATTGGCCATGGTGTGGGTGTACTGGTAAATTATTAACAACCAGCTATCCAGAAAATCATTGTATGTGTATTTATACATACATAATTTCAAACATGAACTTATTGATATAAAGGATGTGTAGCACATATTTATAAAAAATATACAATCTTTATTATAAATTTCTTATAGCCAGTTGATTCTCATAGAATGCTTTTGCTCAGTTTTGCCAACTTCTTGATTCAGTAACCAACCTGTGATTGCATTTGACAAATGAGAATAGTTTTTTTTTTCAAAGATTTATTTATTTATTTGAGAGAGGGAGAACGTACAAAGGAGGAGCATACAAAGGAGGAGCAGAGGGAGAGAAAGAGGGAGAGAATCCCAAGCAGACTCCCTACTGAGCACAGAGCCCCATGCAGAGCTCGATCTCAACACCCTGAGATCATACATGACCTGAGCCGAAATCAAGAGTCAGATGCTTAACAGACTGAGCTACCCAGGCACCCCAGCAAATGAGAATAGTTTTGACTGTTGGTTGACATTTTCATTTGCATTAATCAGTAAGATAAAAGTGAAACAATAAGGGGCCAAGCATGGAGCCTGCTTAAGATTCTGTCTCTCCCTCTCCCTCTGCCCCTCCCCCCTCCAAAAAAAAGTGAAACAATGAGACTTATGTTGGAACTTCACTTATTTGTCAGTGACTTGAGCAACATCTTTGCTGGGATGGGATAATAGTTTTTGAAAACCGAAAGAACCTTTCAATTTTTTGTGCTCTTGACAATGTAATGGGCATAGACATGGCATACTTTTAAACTTAATCTACATTATTTACATACTACCACTTTCTTAAGTCTAGTCAACAAAATAAATAAATCAAGCTTTTGTTTGCAGCATTTACCATTTCTGTAGTCTAAATTCTCCCATTATGGCCAGTTTCAAGCTACCAACGTGACATCACCTAGCATGGACTTGGGAAGAGATGAACACACCATCACATAGTATTTCCTCCATATAGATACAATAGACAGGGACTTCTGGTTTCCAGTCTGATATGTAAAGAGCTTGGAAGTCATTGCTCCTGTTCTTATAACAACAACAACAACAAAAAAAAAACAAAAAACAAAAAACCCTGAATAAACTGAAAATCAACCTTGTTAGATCGAGCAGAGAATTAAGGGGACAGGGCAAACCTCTACCACAAAAACTGGAGAGACAGGCAGAATCAGAAGAGGCATAAGCCAGAGACCCGTGGCTTACTGAGAGCAAAAACTGCTATTGAAACCAGCAACTAATAGCAATACATAAAGGGCAATTGACTAATTGCTGGAGACTGAACTTGGCCTAGATTGAGAGACTAAAAACAAACAAACCTTTTGAGGGCCCCCACACTTTCATGAGTTTTACTTCCAGGAGCCCCATAGGTCTTAACTATAAAGATTGGAGAAAAATCCCCTTGTCCTTCTGGGAGGGAAAGGGAAAAAAGAGCTACTTAGACCCAGAGCATTCAGTTGTCCTTAACAAAAGCCTGTCCTCAATGGAAGCTACTTAACAGAGCCTAACCAATGTAGGAAAAGGAAAATAACCAACTCCAGCATTTGTGAGGGCCACAGTCTGGAGGGGACACAAGCTCACTAAAAAACTGAGACCTGATACGATTATAAAGCACTTTCCTCACCTGCCCCCCTTACCAACACATCAGTAGATCTCCTATATAATAACAGGGGATTACAACAGAAAGAACTACAAACTCACACCCATTTAAGAAGGAGTGTGTGAGGAAACCCAAAGACAACAGGGGAGACAAAGACGTCAGAGGAGATTTTAGCCTCTGATACCTACAGCCATAGCAAACAGGAAACAGCAACCAAACTCCCAAACAGATAAACGTAAAACATCCATTCCTTTTACCCAATATATCATGTCTAGCTTCCTGCAAAAAAAAAATTATAAGGCATGCTAAAAGGCAAAAAATACAGTCTCAAGAGACAAAGCAAGTATCAGAACCAGAGTCATAATATGGCAGAAATTTTTGAATTGTCAAACTGGGAATTTAACTGATTAACATGCTAAGGACTCTAATGGAAAAAGTGAGCAACATGCAAGAATAGATGAGTAATGAAGCAGGGAGATGAAAACTAAGAATCAAAA